TTTTAGGTCAGGTTTTGTAGCCGTGTGAAATCAGAATAACTTAAGTAATGATTATAGATGCTTATCAGTTCATGTGTAGTCCTACTGCAAGGCTTTTGAGATTTTTGAGAGTCTTCACCTTTGAATAGTGCCTAAGAGCACATCCTGAGGAGCAGGTTCTGAAGAGCAGAACCAGCATAAAACTTTAATAGTTCAGACAGAAGGCAGTCTGTGTTTGCAGGATGTATATTAAGAAAAATATTCTCCAAGAAAAAAAAAGCAGCTGTAAATACTTTGTATATAGCCTTTGTACAGCTTCAGGCATCCCCAGGGTGGGTGATCTGTCAGACCTTTTCATTGATAGTTTTCATCTTTCAAGACAATTACAGCTTTCCTGAACGCATCACTGACTTGGGTGGTAGGAACATGGAAACGTTTAGTCAACATGTTACTCTTACTTTGATTAGGTGTAGTCCTCTTCCTACCATTTGATCCTTTGTTACTGCTCTGGAAGCTGTGTAGATCTGCTGGGCTTTTGTTTTTTAAATTGGCTTGAAAATTAAGTCTTCTCTCCTCCAAATTCATAGCAACCTCTTCTAACTTTGCAGAAAGTCCGTAGATATTTTTTGGCTTACCATGGAAGTAAGCAGTGATTAGAGATTATTCCTTAAAACAAAGAAGAATGCAAACCTGCAAAGGAGCTTCCAAATACTTGGAGACTTCATCACTTATGAAAGAGTCTTAATAACAATTAGGTAGCTTTGCTTTTTTTCTAGTTTTAGAAAATTGTTCTAGCATATCATTGTCATGATTGTTAGAATCTAAATTTCAGTTTTCAAGTTTGAATGTTGCTTGTGACTAATATTCATTTGTTCCTGTGCATTTGAGTAGTTATCTTCCTGCTAAAGGTCTTTTAGTATAGTCATACAAAATATTAATCTTCCCTTAGTGTCCATGAAAAGTATCAGAGCTCTTAGGTATTCCATTCTCATGATGAGTGGAAATAGTTCTCTGTAGTTGTTCCTCTTAGAATGTACATATCTTGAACACTGGAAGCAAAAAATATGTGTATTGCTTTGGAATATTTTGTTCTTATTGTCTATTTGTCTAGCATGTATGTGCTTTCTCTTCTGGATATACCTCTGATATACTTTAGAATAATAGTTTTCCTTTCGTTCCTGCATTAAATCTGATGCATTGCAAGGAATATACAGTGATCTTTTTCCCTGTGTTTCCAACTAATTGCCTCAGTCCCTTAACATGAAGGATGGTTTCTACCTCAGGCTAGTAGAGGTTTAGTTCACTGGTGATCTTTTTTAATCAGTGCTGATGACTTGTGTTGGAAGATGTGTTAGAAAAGTATAGTGTTATTGTATGTAGATGGAGTTTAATTATTTTTTTCGGGCAGTAGGTGTGTTAGTAAGTTATTTCTAATAATCTTACTAGGTTCGTGGCCTGTTGGCTTTTCATTTTGTCCTGCTGGCTTTTAATTGCTTCAGTTGATGTCATTTGTGCTGTCCCAAATCTGTTTTCAGTGGATGATTTCCTAATGTTCATTCCATCTACTGGCTCTTATTTTTCCTATATCCAATAGCAGAAAGGTCTGGCTTGAGAAACTGCAGTGATAACATCCCTTTAGCTCTGTATGTCTTTCCAAAATCAATAACTATTATCCTTTCCTTAGAAAGTTTACCTACTCTGCATTTCTCCTGCTAATCACAATCTGCTTCATTTGGACCAAGAATTCAGTACCATATTATGGCTTTGAAATCTGGCTAGGTTGAATAAATTTTATTTTCTTGGCATTAAAACATTAGTTGTTTTACTGAAGAAAGTTTAAGTTTCTGTGGTACTCTCTGCTCTTGATTAATTTCAATTTTACTTGATTTGTGTAGATTTTTTTCCCCCCCACCCTTCTCTTTTACTTTTCTTGAAAGCCAAGTTTTAGGTCTTTCAATATTATCTGTTGACAACAGGTCAGAAAGGTTTCATTCTGAGCTCACTTTCTCTGTAGGTGGTACTATTCTGTTTTCATGAACAAGTAATTTTTATGGATCTAAGACATTGTTTTGTGTACCAGTTTGACAACTCTATTCTCCCTGGTTTGGGGGTAAAGTCTTCTTAAAACTGAGGAGTCTTGCCTTATTTGTTGTCTTATTTCATCAGCGTTCCTCCCTTGGCCATGTACCAATGTCCATTTGTTTCCTTGCTGGTGAAAATATGGGCAAAAAGCTTAATTCCTGGGTTGAGACTGAAGTCATCTTACCTTAGGCCTCATCATAAAGCATCACTGGTTCTTCCCTGTTTGTGGCTGAAGAATCCTTGTAACTTGCTTTGCTACCAGCATTGTCTTAACACATTCACTCCTCACAGCCCTTGGTTGGGGTGCAGCCTTTGCTGAGGCACTGTGCCCAGAGAGGTTGTAGACTCCACATCTGTGGAAGTGTTCAAGGATGGGGCTCTGAGCCAGTGGAAGGTGTCCCTCTACCCAAGGCAGGGGATTGGAACTAGATGATCTTTAAGGTCTCTTCCAACACAAACCACTTTGTGACAGCTCTTAATTAACCAGTGCACTCTCTGTTCTTGTGAACAGACTTCCCTTCGCCATTGATATCCTTATATTCAGCAGGGGAAGATTTCAGACAGAATAAACACTTTATCTTCTTTGGGATGCTGTCTTCATGTAGTTCTTGCATCTTTGATTTAGAAGGGATGGAGTGGGCAAGGCAGCTTCCTTTTTGCTGAAGTCCTTTATCTATCTTGCTGAAGGTACAGCTTCACTGGCTTATTTCAGCTTCCCTTTTTGCAATTTAGCATTTAGTTCCTGTTCCAAATGACCAACTCCTCTGTGTTAGCTTTATTATTAAAGAAATTCCATTGCAAGGTGTCATTTATTCATCCAAAAATCGTTTTGTTTAAGAAAAAGAAATTCTACTGGGTAGTACACTCTGGTAGGCTTTGTTCTTTAATTTGTGATAGTAATTGTGTCTTGGAAGGTTATCCCCAACAGTAATTTTTGTTCTTATAAGGATCTTTATTTATAAGTATTTGTACTTCAGACTTGAGGGGTTGTACTAAAAGGTCTTACAACTGCCCTTTCCAAAAGCTCTTTTGAAAACCAGATTCTGGGCACGTTTAGAGTGAAACTATTTGCACTGTACTTATCCCCAAATAGTAGAACACCATTCTTTTCCTTTACATAAGAAGGGAATGTTTTCCAGCTAACACTCTAATTCCCAGGGGGTTCATGAAAATGGTCCATCCAAACCATTTCTTGATGGAAGGGGTTAAAAGACCCATAATCTTAATAGTCTGATTTTGTTCTTCTGTTTCTCATTTTTCCCCTCACTATGGTTGGCAAATAGTTCTTACCACAAAATGTCTTGTTCTCCTTGTAAAACAAAAGGTCTTCAAAACTTAGGCTCCAGGAGAATCCTGAAATTCTACTTATGAAGGACTTGAATGTTAGGGAGCTCAATACTTTGATGCTTCCTATGTTGAAGGAAGGGAAAGGGAACAGAAATCTCTGTCTAAAGTACTTCTTTTACAGCTTTTTTTCTGTATTTCTGAAAAGCTTATTCTTGTGCTGAAATTCCTTCTGCTTTCCACCTACCTTCCCAAACTGTCTCCCTTTAATGCAGTGAGCTTTCTACATGCTAAAAGCAGCACAAAATTGTAACTTTGCCGTGGTGGTTGGATCTTGCTTAGCCTAAATTAAGTCTGCATTCCTGGCTGTTGTGATGTTAGTGTCACTTGCTTGAAGCTTTGTTTTTATTTTCCATCTCTTTCTATAGGATACTTTTGTTCATTTCTTCTGGAATAATGGGCAAAACAGAACATAAAACTTGCATTGGTTTATGTTCTTCTTTTGCTCATCCAGAAACTCGTTTGACTTTTAGGGAAATTACTTGTATTAAGAAAGATCTTGATCAAATACCTGAAAGCCTGGTAATAGCTGGAGCAGTCTCTGTCGCTGGGGGGATGTGCAGGGGTGTGGGTGTGTTGCAAGACCATGGGTAAAAGATTTAGAATTCTTGCTTTTGTCTCAGCCTGTAAGAGAGTGAGAACAGTACCTACCTCACAGGGTTTTTTGAGGCTTGATGAAACTTTTTTTAACTAAGACTGATGGCCTCTGGAAGGTGCTACAGAAGTGCGTAGTGTTACTGTCTGTAGGCTGAATACCGTTGGGTTTTTTTCCTGGCAGTATATAGGACTGCCACAGTTAGGGCAAGAATTTTGTTTGGTGTCTCTTTAAAGAAAATGCAAAAGTGCTTTGCTGGGGAGAATAGAAAGGGGCTTTCTGAAGAGGTGCTGCAGACATGAAAATTCAGAGTGGTGATTGGTCACCTCTGCTTGATTGACAGGTTGCAGGGAAAAACAAAAACCCATTTGTTCTGGCTTAATGGAACTGGAAAACAGAAAATGAGTATCAGGTAAAAATTCCTTTTTTAAAATCTTTGCAGTTCTCCTTTAAAAAGTGGAGTTTTTACACAAATCTACTCCTTCCCCATTCCAATAAATTAGGAGTAGGAGTTACAGAAACAGGCAGTTGCCGAGCTGTGTAATGTGGGTTGTCTATGTCAGTGCGTTTTCTAGGGGGCAGGTGTTCTGAACACCACAGCAGCCAATGCTCCTGGGCTAGCTTAGCAAAAAGGCAGTGGATGGAAAGGGTGTAGGGACTAAGCCCTGAACTGGACCCAGCTCTCTGGTTAGGCTCATTAGCAGGACGGTCAAGGGGAAGCTTTTATTTTCACTTCCTATACTGTGCCTGCTCTGTGGATAAAGTCTGTCAGTTTCTACTGCTATCAATTTGGCATCTTTCATGAGCATTATTACAAAATTCACTGGAAAGTGAATAGCTAAAGAAAGTAAGCTATGTTTTAAAGTAACTTCCATCTAGCAGTATCCTGTTGTTCAGATTTTATAATAAATTTCAACATCAGCACCACAGTTTTGAGAATCATAAGTGTATATGATTTATTTCTGGTAACTTAATTATGTTGTATGTTGATGTATTTCAGATTGAAGGACAAGGCCATGGTGCAGTTTTTGACTGCAAGTGCTCTCCTGATGGACAGCATTTTGCATGTACTGATTCTCACGGTCACCTTCTGATTTTTGGCTTTGGTTCCAGTAGCAAATATGACAAGGTACAGTACAAGATGAAAATCAAATGTTTGTCTGTGTTGAATGCATTCATGCAAACTTTTCTTTAGAACTTCATTTCAAGAGGGCATATCTTAACAAAGTTTTGAGCCTTTAATGTGGGATGATGAAATGTTTTGGGTTCTTGTTGTTGACACTTAGCTTTCTTTCACTGTCTGTTTTTAAACTTTGGAAAAATGCTGTTAAGCTACTGTTTACATGGGGAGTTCAAAATAATAATAAAAATAGTTTAAAAATGTAACTTAAAATTACCCAGTCACTGTGTACTCTCTTAAGTGACAAGGTTATAAGTGTCTGCTAATGGGTCCACATAGATAACACAAACAGCACTGATACTGATAATAGTCAAACATTTTGCTTTAAATATTTCTCTGGTTTCTAACTTAGGACCAAAACCAGGGAGTGGGTGTGTAGTAGAACTAATTCCTGCTATCTGTATTTAAGCATTGCATGTCCTGGGAGAGAATTATTTACAAAAAATACACTCTGTGTTCTAGTGGCACAATTCTGTCTGCTAATGAAGTACTGTCATGGATGCCTTTGTGCTTACACAGCAATGTTCCACTGTTAGTGTGATTAAAATATTATATCTTTATTCTGATGTCACAGTCTACATTGTGTGTTCCAAGTGTGGATGTCTTGCCACAGACCCTCCTGCCTGTAGAGATATGTGGTGTTATTTATTTTCTCTGTGGATGAACATGCTCTGAGAACCATAGAGGTTACCTAGTTTGGAATGCCCACAAGGTCCCAGTTCTTCTTTAACCACCCAGGGATGAAATGAAGTGTGTCTCTTCTTCCTCATTCTGAGACTTAAGCAGACTTATCTGCTCCAGGATTTTTATCTCTGTTTCTGGTAGCTGAAACTTGAAGTGCTGTTTTCTGGATCTTGCTTCCTGCTTTGGATCTTTGAACTCAGGTTGGCTTTGAAAGCATTTTGGCAAACAGCAATGCAGAGGGGCCTGAAAGAAGGAGAGCAAAAGGAATTTTAATCTTTGTCTTGGAAGCTACTGCATTTCTTTCTGTAGTCTTACAGAAGTATTTGCATATTGGGGATTCATTTTTCCTCCTTGTCTCTTGACTAAGATTTGAAGTCCTCAGTACTAGGCTGCTCAGTTGCTATCCCTCAGTTATTAAGAGCTGTGCATTTCCCCTTCCATTCCAAATAAAACAAATGAGCAGAGAGACCACAAGCAAGGAAAACCAGGATTATGAGAAAATTTTCAAAGTCTTCATTTTTCAGAGTTGTTACTGTTCCAAACTTTAAAGCCTGTTATAATAGAAACATTCTTCTCACCATGTCCATGCATTGCTGCAGGTTTCTTTTTCTCTCTAATTGTTTTGGAAGTACATAGTCCTGTGCTACTCAGAAATGCTGGAAAGGAAATTGAAACTGAGTCTTTTTGTTTTAGCTGTGATAGACAAGGATTTTCCTTTACTCTGCCATTTGAGAATTTACCTGTGAGGGATTAAATCTGTTTGAAGAATGAATACAATTGCTTTTCACTGCCTGAGTTCTACAGACCCTTTGTTCTCTTGGGGCTTTTTCTGCAGCCTCTGAGAAAAATTGTGTTTTAAATTTTTCACTTATTGGATGATTTAAAATGATCCTCTACAGCTGTTGCTGTGCCAATGGTAGTCTTGGCATTCTTGATCATAGAGGAAATGAGAGCAAATAGGACTTAGATTTGTTACCTCTTTAATCTCAGTCTTTCACTCACAGAAAACTGAGCTCAGAAGTTTCTGATCTCTTCCTTTTGTGGTTCCATCAATTTATTTTTTTTGTCTGACCCTGTTCATGGGAAAGTGTAGCTACAGGTAGGTAGGTGCTGGAGATGGTGTTCTTTTCTCTGTCTACCCCCTCAGATACATGGGAGATTTTCAAATGTCTTGTGAGATCTGATCCGGTAGGACCTGTGGGGTTTTTTTGCCTTAAAGTGTTGTCCATCTGTCTGGGGAAATGAATTTTACAGAAGAAAGGAGTGTGGTAACCTGTCCTGTCCTGAGTTGTGCTCAGGGCAGTGATTATAGATCAGATAGTGTTAGCTCTGCTGACAGAGCAAGCTCTTGGTTTTCTACATGTATGATTTTTCATGTTATATTCAGATAGTATCTGTGTTTCCCAGTTGACTGAAACCCATTGTCCAGGGTTTTTCCCCCCTCCCAGTGTGATCTTTGCCGTGATGAAGGTGAATGGGGTGTCTTTGGCTTGTTGGGGGTTTTTTTGTTTGTATGTTTGGTTGGTTTATTTAATGACACATGGTTTTATGGAATAATTCTTTTGTGGGGGGCAAAAAATACATTTGCTGCTTGTTTGGGGTTCCTTGAGCCAGTCTCAGCTGAAATTTCTAAGTGTGCAAAGATCACCAGAGGTGATGGAAACTTGTCCTGGAATGCCTAGTGGTCCAAAAGTGTAAGGTACTTTTCTGTTGAATTTAAATCATAGAATATTCTGGGTTGGAAAGGACCCATGAGGACCATCAAGTCCAGCTTCTGGCTCTGCACAGGACAGCCCCAAGAATCAGACCATGGGCCTGAGAGCGTTGTCCAAGCACTTCTTGAATTCTATCAGACTTGGTGTCATGCCCACCTTCGTGGGGAGTCTGTTCCAGTGCCTGACCACCTTTGGAGTGAAGAATCTTTTCCTCATGTCCAGCCTAAACCTCCTCTGACACAGCTTCATGCCATTCCCTTGGGTCCTGTTGCTGGTCAGCAGAGAGGAGAGATCAGTGCCTTCCTTCTGCTTCCAAGAAAATCTTAGATTGGATTAGATCTCTGAGCTTTCTAAGGCTTTTGTTCCTGTAGACTGCTCAAACCACAGCACTTTGTTGCAAGTTGACATTTCCTGCGTAGTGGTTTAGTGCAGTAGTGGGGAAAACCTCTTTGTGTACCTGTGCCTGTTTGGAGAAGCTGAACATTCTGAATGCACGGTGTAGGTACTGGAAGAGAGTCTGTCTGTAGAGCACAGACCTTGTGGAGAGCTTCTGAGCTCAAACCCAAGCTGCATTTGCAAAGTCATTTGTGCAGAGGACTCATGTGCAAATGGTGTTGTAGTATCATCTTGGTGTCATGAATTTGCTCTCTAATAGTATATAAAGAAATCAGTCTGATTGTTACACTTCTAACTGGTTGTCTGCTGAAATGTCTAGCTCTTCTGATTTCTCTCAGGATAAGATTATTGCCCTGGCATATAGGGACATTCCACCTGAGAGCTGGCCTTAGCCTTGGCTCTCCAAGAAATGCCATTGTCTCATGGAGTGAAAAATTGTTGTTTGCACTCTCTATTGTACTTGATTGCAATTACCCTTCGGTGTACTCCGTACTGCAAAGAAGTCCCTTGTGATCTTGCACCAGATCTTCCCTTTGCTTACAAAGCCTGGGATGCAGACAGCAAACACTGTACAGGCAAATCACAACACATTAGAACTCACAGTTTGTGTGATCATGCCATTGGAATCTCTTCTTTCTCAGTGTGGGAAGTACTTCATAGGAAAAGTTATACTACATGTAAGTACTGCATAGCCTATTATTACGATTTTAGGAAATATTGTTAGTCCTCCTAGAGGACCCTTGTCTCTATCATATTGAGCTGTTGTGAGATGGATGAACAAAGGTGTTAAGCAGGCCTTGATTCTGTCAGTCAGACACATGAAAGCACTTGTGTCTTCCTCATTCAGCCTCTGTTAACAGAAAATCTGGAAACGGGATTTCATCCAGTCAGGGCTACTTACTGCAGTGGGATATCACCTTGTCTATATGCATTTTGTAAGGGCAGCCTTTAGAATCCCTGGAGTGAATTCTTTTCTATTGCATATTTCTGTGTATCTTTCTTATTTCTTCTTGTTCCTATTTTTCTGGGATTTCTTTGTGGGGTCCAGATCCCGTGATTCCTATGATTTATTATTTTAAAAAGTTTTTCCCATCTGCCTCATGTGGATGCATGTGGGCACCTTCTGATGTTAGAATTGACAAATGTCTGTCGTCATCTTGCTTTCCTGGCCTTTTTGCATCCACTACAGGAGACCTTTGTCCCTCAGAGACCAGACTCTGAGTTGGTGCTGTACCATCTGCCTTACTGATTTCCATGTGACAGGTTACTGGAGTCTGTGTTATAGATTGGTCATGATAGAGCATAGTCTTGAGAAACCAGAGTATGTTCTATGGCAATTTAGGCATTCCTCTGTCCATGCACAGAAGACAAGATTGTTTTGAGATCTCTGTGCACTGAGTCAGTCATTTAATCATTCTTATACTGCACGGGAAATCTAATTTGTGTGCATAATGATTTTATGATTTCATTTTCACTTGTTCAAAGTTAAACTGAGGATGTGAGCTGCCAAGGGGTTTACTTGCCAGTAGGTAGTGTTGGGATGTGACTACACTAACACATGTTAGCTTCTCTTCTGTTCACTTTTTCTTTTCTCCTTGCAGTTCAGTATCTTTCTGATTACACAATGCTGGGATACATGAGCCAGCAAGGGATGGAGCATTAACATCTTTACATATTCTTTGGACAAAATAATTACTTAGTCTTGAGGGTCTGTGGAAAGTCATCTAGAATAAATTATGAGTTGGTGGACTCAAATGAAAAAGAAAACTTTGAGCCTGAAAAATTCAATTTGATCTCAGCTTTATTTTATCCACTGAAACTTTTTGAGATATCTGGAACTTATAATAGTATATGTTTGGCTGGTGTTAAAATAGTTGGCAATGCCCTGATGTGATAAATATTTTTCCTATTCTTCTTCCTGCATCACAGCTCATAAGTCTGTGAGACAATTTTTTATTATCAGAATATATATTCATTTATTCAGAGTGTAGAAGAGAATTTTTAAACAAATACATCCATGCTGGGTTCAGTTAGATGCCTTCAAGTAGTTAAATATTAGCCCATTCCCCTGTTCTTTAAATGCTTCCTCCCCTCAAACGTGAATTATTCTCCTTGCACTGTAATACAGAAAAGGAGTACTGGGACACAAAATAATAATGGAGTCATTAAATTTTCCCCTTCAAACTGAGATAAACAGCTCAGCTTATAGCCTTGTTTTTACAAAAGTGACCATGAGTAACATTGTTAAAAATACTTTTGGCAGTTATCTTCTGTATGTTTTTTTAATAGGTTCTTAAAAAAATTACAAAATGACTTTGTTTACAGATAGCAGATCAGATGTTCTTTCATAGTGATTATCGGCCCCTTATCCGTGATGCCAACAACTTTGTCCTGGATGAACAGACACAACAGGCTCCACACCTTATGCCTCCCCCATTTTTGGTTGATGTGGATGGCAACCCTCATCCTGCAAGGTATCAAAGACTAGTTCCTGGTCGTGAGAACTGCAGGGAGGAACAGCTTATTCCTCAGATGGGAGTGACATCTTCAGGTATGAAAAATTTCACTTCACTATACAGTAGTCTGTCTAGCTACCTCCAGGTGTTCTATCCCTTTGTCCTTTTACTTCGTTTCTGGGCACAGTAGTTCACATAGTGTGGAAGAATTGTGATGTCCTTGGCACTGATTGCTTGTGACAATTTCAGTTACAGTATTGTCATTGTCAAGTCAGCACTAGTTGATGCTACAACACTAGTTACCTTGGAGCTCATTTTGTTACTGGAACAATGTATGATGCTGAGAGAACTTTGAGTTCTGTCTTTGGGATAAGATTTCCTACTTTAGACAACGTAAGAAATAGACCAATCTTCCACAGGTCAGTTGGAAGAGATAACACCTACAGGAAGAGAAAAATGAGAGGATACCTGAAACAAGCAAAATTCTCTCCCTTTTTAGATAAAAACATTCATTCAGCTTAAGCTTTGGTGGTCTAGGAAGTTCCTTGAAAATGTTATTCTCCATGCACACAACACAGGAGGAACATGCAAGTATTGGACCCAGGCTGCCTGTTGGAAACTGCCTAAATGTGTTTCACATGGGTGGGGATGGGAAAAACAGTGCCTAATTGTTGCATGTCACTAGTTTGATATTAGTATCAATGAGCAAACAGTGGCTGGTGAAAGTAGCTTTAAATGTTTTCAGGACAAACTTTGTTAAGTATTTGGATATTCTTGAAAATATGTGAAAACTCAGTGTGGCTGTAAATAGTGGTTTATATGTACAGGATGCTTAAGCCTGTGGTGTGTCAGATGTTCCAGGAAGGTTTAACTGACAGTGTTTTTCCCAAAAGATCTCTTTATCCTTATTTGTAGACCTCAGGATTATAAACCACTGAATACTCAAAAAATTGGAAGGAGGATTTCCATATTTCCTCCAATATTACCAGAAGAAATGCTATTTGAGAAACAACTGTAAGAAGGGAAAAATAATTTATGGTGAATCTATGCTATGTTTTCTCTCTAAACCTTTTAGCTAGTGGCTTTGAAGCCAAATTTGATTTCTAAGGACGAACGTGATTTTACTTCTTTGTTACAGTCACAGTGTGGATCCACCACATTCTGAAATTCTCCAGATTTGAAAATGTCCTGGGCACATTCTCCTATATAATACCTTGAAACAAGTCAGACTTTGCACACAGATCCAACAAAATTAAATTTAATGGTGTGTCTGCATGACACATGAATGCCTATAGGAAGATGATGTCCATAGCATTTTGCTTAACAGCAGGAAGCCATCAACCAGCCTGACAGAGATTATGGAGAGACACAAGACATTTTTCTACCTCTTCACATTTTAGCATCAATATATGCAGTCTTACACACAGCTAAACTGTGTTTATGTATTTTATATTTTCCCTTCCACTAAGAAAGCTCCTTTTCTTTCTGAAGCTTCGTTGTAGGACTTAATGGATCTCCATCAGAGCAGTGACCATTTATTTCTTGTCAAGTTTCCTGTAGGGGCTTGTAAGAGTAGGGGGAGTTCAGATAGTCATGCTTGACTTACAGCTTAGATGTACATGAAGCTTCTTTAAACCAGATCTTTTGAAAAAATCAAGTATATACAAGTGTCTTTATTTTTTCATTTAAATATAAACCACTTGCTGTTATTTGTGAAGGCATAGTCTCACATAAAAACATTCATTTTGTTTAGGTAGCAGTTTCCTTAAAGACCATATGTGAGTTATTGGCAGTCATTATTTTCAGCAGACAGTGTGTCTGCTCACGAGATCAGCAAATTAATCTGCATGAGTCAGAAAACATCCAGTTGTGGTTACACCAGGGCTCATTCCATGATTCCAAGGTTCTGCTTTGGGGAAGTTGACTTCAATCACCTTGAAAGCCTGAGAACACTATCTTAAATGTTCGAGTTTTTCTGCATACTGTTAAGAGATGGCTGCTTCTGTGCAGCCACATAATCACAGCTCTTCATGTCATAGCACAATTACTGTAATATCTTGTCTTTGATCCTGCAAAGTGCAGTTTATACTGTGATATTTCCTTGGACTCAGGATGCAAAAATAATTTCTGTAGGTTTTTTCTTTGAACTTTGTCATCCTTCATTACAAAGTTAGAATAATAGATCAAAAAAAAAAAACCAAAGTTGTGCAAGTTCTGCTTTTCTTGACCAGAGCTTCCCATCACTCCACCATCTCACTGTTCTGTATGGAAGTGTTTGACTTCCTTTTCAAATCAGTACTGTAGTCCTTGCTTTTTTATCCATATCTCTCTAATCCTTTTTTTGTGACCATTGTGAGTATGAAAACAGGTTTTGTGTTATGCTTAACATGCTGTGTATTTTGCTTGTTCCACAGAAACAGTACTAGTAATGACCTTGTAACCACTTCAGTGAGAACTGTTTCCTGTCCGCTATTCAAGATACCTACCCAAAAGGAGGTTTCTTGGCTGTTTTACATACCAAAGAAAACTAACATTACTTAACCTGTGTGGTCATTATGCCTATGTGGAGCTCAATCAAGCATCTTTTACTGCTTGGTTTTCTACAGTGTAGATAATTATTTTCTAATTCAGTTAGACCTTCTTGATGTAGTTCTTTCATTGAAGTTTATAAAGTGTTTTATGCTGCATTTGAGGCAGGCTAAGCATGTATTTGAACAAACAGTTGTATTAAGCTTCTGTGACTCGCTGGCACTTGATCAAATTTAAATCTGTATTAGGAGTGACATGTGATCATCTTGATCCTGCTCCAGAAAATACGATGCTCACTATTTGTCTGTTAAAAAAAGTCTTGTTACAAAGTAAGCATTAGCCCATACTTACACATGCGATGATTCACTGCACTTGTAAGTTTCAGAGCTAAAATGCCTTTATTCTTTCAATTAAAAATAAACCACTTGCTCTTAGTTGTGAAGACATAATGTCACTTCAACACTCATTTTGTTTAGGTATGCTGCTTGTAGCATTCAGTTCTTCAAATTAACATTTGTCTGTTGTTGTCCTGTATGTTTTACTTCACAGGATTGAATCAAGTTCTTAGTCAGCAAGCAAACCAAGAAGTGAGTCCGTTGGATAGCATGATTCAAAGGTTCAAGCAGGAGCAGGACCAGAGACGTTCTGTGGAGGCAGGAACCAGTAGTACCAGCCGCATCAGCAGAGGTAGATGACTGGGTGATGGGTGTTGTGGCTGAGGGCTGGAAAACATAAATCACATTACTGTGTATGGTTTGTGCATTTTGTTGAGCTACTGGAAAGGGGATGTTTGAAAAACATAAATCGCATTACTGTGTATGGTTTGTGCGTTTTGTTGAGCTACTGGAAAGGGGATGTGGAGCCGAAGAAAATAATACAGCTTTCTCATCGTTTTTTACCTTCCTGCAAAATGTTGGGAAAAGAAAATAATACAGCTTTCCCATAATTTTTTACCTTCCTGCAAAATGTTGGGATTCTTAGCATTACAAATCTGTCTTTGTTATTGTCTGCTCACTCGGGAAATTGCAGCAGCTGCATTCCCTTGGAAGTAACTGCCCAACTGTTTCATCTGGAATTGGCCATCTACTTGTTTGAAATCTGACTTCCCTCATGAGGATACAGGAGGGAGACCATTGCGGTTTTTTTACTGTAAAGTCTACAGCTTGATTCATAATATTTTCCAGTGTTGTGGTTTCATTTTTTTTTTCTTTGAAGGTGGAAGAGTGTTTAAGGAGCTTCATTTTTTTTCCTTTGAAGGTGGAAGAGTGTTTAAGGAGCACAGTGATTTAGTGAGATAGCTCACTGCTTTACAATACAGATCTAGGGGGCAGTAGCAATAGTTAGCTTTGCATAAATGCTTTCAAAAGCATTTTTAAAGAAGAACAAACATTTGCTTCACTTGAGATTGTTGATACATCTGCTCCTTTTCAATGTGAGGTTTTAAAGAGTACTACAGCCCAGTAGCTGTTTGTGTCTGTGTTGTGGTGACTGTAGAAACTGCTGAAATAGTTAATTCAGTTAATACCATTTCTTTTGAACTAATAAATCAGGTGAAGTTATTTTTTTTTCCCCTTTAATTTTGAATTTTTCTTTTTATATACTTACCTAAGAATTTCAGATCAAGTACAACTATTGCTTTTTTGACTTTTTAGGGTCTGTAAGTTCTACCTCAGAAGTACATTCACCACCAAATATAGGATTGAGACGCAGTGGACAGATCGAAGGTGTGCGTCAGATGCACAGCAATGCACCAAGAAGTGAAATAGCCACTGAGAGGGACCTGGTGGCTTGGAGTCGCAGGGTTGTGGTGCCTGAACTATCTTCTGGTGTGGCCAGGTAAGTGTAGGCCAAGGCTGCAGTGAATTTTAGTTTGGTGAACTTCATTAAGTTAAATAGTGTTGGAATTCACATTGTCACAGGATTATTTGTGTGGTATTTATTTATTTTGTCATCTCAAATATCTGAAATATCAAATATTTGAAATGACTTGTTTGCATATCACTTGAAAACTCTTTGTATTATAGAAGGATTGGGAATAAAAACTGGCCATTTAACGAATGGCACGGTAATTGAACTTGTATAGACAATGGAATCTATTTGCCTCATTGTCTTCTGATTTGTAGCATAAGATTACATGTGTTAACTCCTTTTATTCCTGTCATCACACGGTATTTCACAGCTAGAACACTGACCTAATCCTTTAGGTGCCTGAGGTGAATTTTGGTTTTCAAACTGGAACTTTATTTTGTTCAGTAATTAACTCTTGTGATGAATACTTAAATCAGTAATTATAGAATCACAGAATTTAAGGGTTGGAATGGACCTTACAGATCATCCAGTCCCAACCCTCCTGCCATGGGCAGGGACATCTCCTCACTAGATCAGGCTGCCTGGCCTTGAACAGCACCAGGGTCAGGGCAGCCACCACGTCCCTGGGCAACCTGGGCCAGTGTCTCACCACCCTCACAGGAAAAAACTTTATCCTAATATCTAGCCTAAACTTCTCTTTCCGCTTGAACCCATTACCCCTTGTCCTGTCACTGCAGTTCCTAACACAGAGTCCCTCTCCAGCTCCTTGTAGGCCCTTCAGATATTGAAAAGTTGCTCTGAGGTCTCCACACAGTCTTCTCTTCTCCAGGCTGAACAGCCCCAACTTCCTCAGCCTGTCCTCATAGGGGAGATGCTCCAGTCCTCTTATCAATTTCGTGGCCTCCTCTGGACTTACTGCTGCAGTCAAACAGAAACTTCTCTAGTATAATAAAAGAAGATAAAAATCTTTGCTCAGAAAAGCTAATTTTGAAGCCATAATTCTAACTGTAAAGAGAACCACTATTCAAAGGATGTTCTAAATATTGAGTGTTTATTCCTTGATTTGGAATAAGTCCTCTCAGTTGTAGTAATTACCTTTAAAGTTAACATCTCAGTTTTCTCTTTTCAGTAGGCAGGAAGAATGGAGAACAGCAAAGGGAGAAGAAGAAATAAGGGTGTATCGATCAGAAGAGAAAAGAAAACATGTAATGAGTCACATTCCAAGAGAAAGCAAAATACCTACTTTCACTAAGGTAAGTAGTCACCTGTCCTTTATCATGGAAAGAAGCATAAAATTTGACTCTGTGTGTTAGGCCACATAAATTTACATTACAGTTTTAAACCAGGGGTATAGCTGTTTGTTTCCCTCCCCAGAATAAGGAAGCAGGTCTGTACTGATGTTTCACTGTGATCTGAATAAACAACAGGGATTGCTTTCAGAACTCCCTGGGAAGGGGGAGAAGCCCTGCAAATCTGGTGTTAGAGACACGATTTGCTGTAGGGAGTCTGTCACTATTAATCAATACATCCTGCTGCTGCTGTCTCCTGTTTGACATACTCTTCTGGGAAAAGGTTCTGTTAAAGCTCTAGTCACAGTTCTTAACCTTAACACAATAATTACATCTCCAAATACAGAGCTGGATATTTTCTCTCATGGTACCTTAATAATCATATAGTGGGTTTGTAGGGGATATTTCTAAATCATGCTCCTTGCTGGAACTTAAGTACATTTTTCAGAAAAGAGGAAAACTTGATAAATGAAGGAGAAGGGAAAAAGTTCTGATAAAAATGAAATTGTCATTTTTCATATAATTTTTTCTATTTGTTTTTCATATAAATTGCAAAAAAAATTTGTCCTTTTGAGTGTAAAAATATTGAGGGATATATATTCTATGTATGCAAAAATAAATTTATGTCTTGTTTGTTAGAAATCATTTTTATCTATGCATTGCACATGCTTATCTGCTGTTCTGGCTAAATAACCAACTATGGTTTTGTAATAAAGTAACTTTTCAGCAACTGTAAAGAGAAGCCATGCTTTGGGTTTTGTGGTACACTTAATATAGGTGAGACTTTTTACCTTTAATCAAAAGCTTGGTAAAATACATGCCCTTAAGAATGCTTGCAAGTTGTCCATGGAAAAATGAAAATTGCTTAGAGGGTATAAGGTGGAAACATGAAGAAATGAAATCTAAAGAACAAGTATGCGAAGTGCAGCTCTTGACTTTATCATAGAGTACCACACCTAATGCCTGAGCTGTTTATTATTTGCTTTCTTGGGAAGGAAGGGACTGAGGTTGAAAGCAACCAGTAAATAAGTAAATTTCAGATGCTTTGTAGTGATACTGTATTTTTGGGATTTTAATGCTGAACGAATTTTGTATACATGCAAAGAGTAAATTTGAGATGGGCAAGTTTATACTTGATATGAAATTTGAGTATTCAACTTTGCTAGTTTTTTCATACCCAGCAAAGCAAAGATGTCCAAAGAAGTGATGGGAACACTTCCCCACCCATGAACTTCCCCATAATAATTTTCAATATCTTTATTAAATTCATTATTTTTTCCTTGAATTTCTTTCTTGTATTAAAATTTGAGTACATTGCTGTCTTAAACGTACTGATGCCTAATTTCAATGCTGCAGTCACCAACATTGTGTGTTTGCTGAAGATAAAGTGAACAAATAATTTTTTTCAGTGTATCTCCAGTTTTTGTACAGAGAGGGAAGAAGCTCTATGCCACATAGCAGGGCTCATTAATGAAATACCAGTACATCAGAAATCTCTGTAGCTCTTATTTTTCTCTTGGGCATAATAGGAAATGGACCTCAAAAATTCAGATCTTAGCCAAGTTATTTCTTGTCTTGAGGGGATATTATTTGGTGCTGAATTTTAGACTCTTTTAGTTTAATTAAACAATTGCACTGCTCAAGGGTTTCTATTTTTTTTTCCACTTCTCTTTAGCTACAGCCTAGTCAGAAGATCCTCCTGATAATGTGAATTGCTTCCAACTTACCCTTAGATTTTTCATTGGGTTACTGTTTTCCTAACATATAACTAGGACACAAAAATTTACGGAGTACGCTCCTGGTCCAACATTTTGGTTTAAGTAATTACTTTTATTATATCTTTGAAAGGAAGAAACTTAATGCAAATGTTTTGAAAGTCTTATTGCAGAGAGATTATTTTTTTTAGTCTCCAAACTGTAAAAGTAGTACTGGATCCTTTGAGCCCCCTATTTTCATTGCAAATATTTATGCCCTTAAAATCCTTCAGAACGACTGCTACTTTAGGAATACCTTTCTTAATTTTCATATATTTACCCCTGGAGGGTCTGTGATCTGAATTCTGGATGCTTAGAATGTGGTGGAGAGATAACTTGGTAAATCCTTTAATCACTTTCCACCTTTGTTCTGAGGAAATACGTTGAAAACAGTCCTGGTCTTTTTGTTGAGTATGTCAGAGAATTTTCTGCATATAAATTACTGCTGAATTCAGTAACACTTGGAGAACATTTAAATAAAACCTTCTTAAACCCTAGTGGATACTTTTTTTATGTCATCTTGGGACAAAAAGCTCATATTCTTCCATAGTTGATTCTACATTAAATATGTGTCTTTTTGGAGGACTTGGATTGCTGAGAAGTAGACTAATTCAAATCTCTTGAGAAAAATCTCAGTGGGATTCAGAAATGAGTAGATATCACATGGGCTTTAAATAAGCAATTTTGCAAGCAGAAAAAGGTGTTTGATCTCAAGTGATTCAGTCTCCCAATTAAATAAACTGCTCAGATTTTAGTGATGATTGTTGTTGCTTATAGTATGAGCAACACTTCTGCTCAGCAGTGTCTGAACAGTAGGAACAGTGAATTGGAATTGCTGTCTGTAGTGTCCATAATAAAATCAAGTCAGCACCTGGGAAGAGAACAAGACTGACTGCAATCCAAAATCTGTAGTGTGGTATTTTTAGGTCTGTTTTAAACAGAAATTAGTAGGTTCATTATAGTGGCTCTTCTGTTGCTGTGACTGATTTTAAATGCAAGCTGTGTTAGGCTGAAGATGGAACTGCAAAGTATGATGTAAATTTCTCTTTCCTTGAGAACATCAGTAGGTTTTGCTACTGGTACCATGTAATTTATATTACAGTACTGTTGCAGGACTGCAGTCCTTTTGTATTGCAGAGTGAATTCTCAGAGGTTTAATGAGAGAATTTATGGTCTCAAGGAGATAGGGAACACCTACAACAAAATAAAGGGTAAAACATTATCTTCTAGTAATCTCTGGACCTAAGAATTACTGCACCAAGAATTCTAGAAAGAACCTCATTCTGCAGAACTCTCAGCTGCTCTGGGAACAGACTAAACAAGGCTTGTATTAAAACATTTGTCCTCACATGCAAATTCAGTTGCATTCATAACAGTAGCAAATACTAATTTTTTATCAACTTTTGCAGTTTATAATTTCTATTTATATAATACTGAAAAAATATGTTTCCTGTTTCTTTCTAACTGAAAGAAGTCAAAAACACAGAACTTAAAATGAAAAGGGAAGTGAGAACAAATGGTAGCATTTCAGATTAGAAGCTAAAGTGTAGGTCAATAAGGAGGATCACAGAGCAGCTGTAATTACATTTGGAGGAGATTCCAAAGTCCTATTACTGATTTTTTTAGTCCAGGGTCATTGTAGGGTGTGTTAAAAGTAGTACAGAATTATAACTCAGCCTTTCTTCTTTAACAATGTCTGCAATTTAGATGGAAGTCACATAAGCATTCTGCTATTTTAGAGTTAGAAAGCTTACATTTCTTTTTGACACAGGTCATACTGAGAAGTGTTTGTATGTGATTGCTTGAGGGACTAATGGAGTTGTGCTGGAGAACCTAAAAGCTTCAATATATTGACCTGAATAGTATTTAGTAAAGAGCATTTAGTATCACTGACCTGCATGCTGAATGAAGAACTCTTTTGACTTTCAAAGTCATTGGTGAGGATTATTATTAAACAAAAACACTAAAAACCAAACAGAAAAATGCTTAAACCCCAAAACATTAATGAAAGAGGATAGAATGGCATTTTTGCATTTTCAAAGTTGAACTGTATTTCAAATTATTTGTTTTCAGGTGCAGATGGGAAGTGAGATGAATAACAGGCTTAGGTAAATGTTCCCAGTCCAAGTAGTTAGAGTATTAGTTTATTAAACCACTGGGATTAGAGCATTTTGATGAATATTTAAGAGTGTGAAATTTGTGTACACTAGAGGGTTGATGTGATGTGTGCCCTAGTAAAGTGAGACAAAAATGGAAATATTTCTAAGTATCGTTAAGTGGAACTTCTAAGCCAAAATTTAAAGGGATTAAGATGGGAGATTGTTATGCATGGACAAAATTAGGCATAGGCCTGTGTTGTGACAGGTGCAGATAACTGTATTGTGAACTAACTGAACCCAGGGAGGAAAATGTGTGCTCTGTTTTGCTGAAGGTGACTTAGCTGTGTTCTTCAGAAATAGTAGTTTTTCTACTTATATGTTATTTAAACCCTGTTTCTAGTTAAATCAGCAAGATGTTAAGACAAAAATAATCTAAAACTCCAGAGACTAAGTGCTTAGTGTGTGTTATCTTCACTGCTTTTGGAACAGCTCTTCCTAATTGCTTATGTACATGTGATGTGGTAGGAGTGAAAACTAAGTAATTACGAGCACTGATTCAGATGAGAATATGAAAGAATGTTCTTTAGCCAAAGGGAAAATGTCAGGACAAGGACTACTGTGAACTATTTAGTGTTGGGGTTCTGACACTGGACGTACACTTGTGCCTTGTCCCTATGAAGCATTCTAATACAGGTTAGTGCCTGTCGTCTTAAGGAAGGAGGAACCATTTTCAGATAAAAAATTAGATACTGCTGGTTAAGAAATACGATGAAATTGCTACAGCCAAAGCTTCCCAAAATTGTTCCAGCCCTCTATGGAACTGCAGCAAAGCTGTGCTTCCTGGTGCTGTCAGGATCACAAGGACAGCAGAATGCAGTGGTCTGCGTTGTCATGATCCCACTGGGTTTCCACTGCCTCTTTCACAAGTGGTGTTGCCAAGAGCCCCAGCAGTGTCCAGTATCCCTCTGAAAACACAGGAAATGCCATCATTTTTATTTTGCAGAAAAGCTGTTCTGACAGCAGCTATAAATTCTAGGGTGTCTATAGATGTGCACTGATATTGACTGGAGCCTTGGATAAGATACAAGGTACTTGTCAGCATATATGTTCACCAAAATGTATTGAGAAAGAAAGTGATGATTGAAGCTCAAATCATAGGTTATCTTCACTTTATTTCTCAGCCTACTGTTAGTGTTGAGAGTCCAATTTTGAGCTCCTCTTTAGGATATGTACTGGGGGGGAATCAGCTGTGTTTCCTCTGTCATTGTTGAACATGCTGGTGATAGATTCCATTTTTGTCAAACAAAATTCTAATACTGTATAGTCAAACCTTCACATTTGACCTCACTCCTCCCCCAAAGAAATAAAATTCTGCCTGACCTGCAGCTTCTCATCAGATTTTGCAGAGCTGTGTTGAATAGCAGTGATGTTAAGATACTTTTTTTTTTTTTTTTTTTGCAAGATGTGGCAGTTGTATACCTTAAAGCCTCTTTTCTCCTCCCTTCTTGAGCAGTGGAACTGGACAAGGTCACAACTAGAGATCCTCTCCAGCTTCAGTCATTCTGTCATTCTGTTACTTATGGTTTGTTTTTTTTCCTGTTTTTCCTCTGTTCTTGTTTTGACACTGCATCTTCCCAAAGGAGTTTGTTACCCTTTAGCATCATTATAACCCAGTATTTATACAGTGATATTACTTCTTTCCATGAAGGAATGATTGGGGCAGGTTGGGGGCAGGAGTGGGTTTTTTTCCCCCTCAGGCTTTGAACAGCCAAAAGAAAAGAACTCTTCTAAAACCAAAGAGTGCTTCAGTTCAGCCAAGTGCTTCAGTTTTCCAAGAATCTGTAGTTCTATTTAAGTAGGGAAAAGCTATGTATAGAATAACCATTTGAGAAACCTCACCTCTGAAGAGAAATGGGGAGGTAAATTTTTAGCACTTTGGGTTTGAGAGAAGACATGAACATTGCAGTCAAGCTGTAATGTAGCTCCTGCAAAATGCATCTTCATTATTGTAAAGGGTACTTGGCTAAATTGTTTCATTGGGCTTGAATGATTCCATTCTGTTGTCCATGCTTCTTCCTCATGCTGTGTTTCATGATGCTAAAAGCCAGATGGGCTTTATGGAAAAGTCACAATTCAGTATCAGAAACAAGTTACTATAATGCTGTCTTTTGTGGCCTCTCTGCTTCAGCAATGAATCTTGAGAGCTTGAGAAGAAGGGAGCAGCCCCAGAAGGCTGTGATGGGCTCAGGCACTGGGCTTAGGGCTGCCTCAGAGCTGTTTTGGGTCAGGTCAGGGCAGCTTGAAGAGGTCTGGTATGTGCTGCCAGTTTGAATCCAGAAGGAGGAGTGCCCCAGGTCTCAAAAGTCTTGGGCAATGTTAAATGCTGATTGCTGAGCAGTCCCATTCCAAGTGTCTCTGGGAGCTGTGCTGTCAGTGGTAGCTTCCCCAGCTAGACAGAACAACAGAAGCACAGTGAGTACTGTGTTCGCTGAATAGAGCACAGAGGAGTTTGTGTTGGTCCTGTGTGCTTCGAAGGAATGCAATTGTACAGAGTGCTGTGCTGGCCTACCCCACTGAACTGTTGTTGTCACGCTTGCAGAAGGTGTGTATCTTCTAACAAGGAGGGTAGGAGAAAAACTCCAGTAGCTAGAGTTCTGCATTTTAATGAGAAACATGGCTAAGGAAAGCCAAATATTAGGTACTTCGGTTAGCCAAGTTTTGGTACAGCTTTCACTGTAAAAAGTGGGGCTTATTTTCCCCAACAAGAAAATGTAACTTCATGAACTGACTTTCCTCATACATGACAGAAAAGATATAATTTTTCCTACAAAAGGAAAAAAATCCAAGAGGACTAGGTACAAGCAATGTGCTCTACTAGAAGGCTCTGATAATGTTAGTGCCTTTCTGTGTTTTGCTCTAGTTCTGCTTTCTTAATCTCTGGCACTGTTTTTGTAAGAGTTCCCTGTCCTCTGATGGCCATTTTTAGTGTAATTCTGAGCTGTTACAAGTTCTTAGCAGCTTGTCAGTATTGTGTCTGGGATGAAATTTTAATTATTTCCAGAATATACTGAACTTCTTCATGCTTATATTAAACTCTGTGCATGTGGAGTGTTTTCTTCAGCAGCTCTTTAGTTTTGGACTTCCTGCTTTTTGCTACTGCAAAAATTGCTCCCTGGAATACTATTAATAAAGAAAATGCTGTGTATTAATAAAATGTATACTAAAAAATAATGTATTTTGACTTTTGTGTCTTCACAGAACCATTCTCATGATAACCTGTTAGACACTAGTGACTCAAAAAAGCAACAAGCAAATCAGCACAACTACCGTACAAGATATGCAGTAGAAGAAACTGCAAGACCTGCTGAAGAGTTGGAAAATGGACACAGTTCCTCAGATGTAAGATTTAATTTTGTAATTCCTACTCCACTAAGCTCTTGCTTCAGCTGATTAAACATTATTTCTAGTGGAAACTTAAGTTATATTTTTCACTGTGCATTTCCTTTCACCTCTTTGAAAAAGGATATTGGATCAGGTTTTCACATGCTGTTGTATGTGCTTATTTTATACTAAAAAGGAATAGACAAAAGGAAGAAGTGCTCATTTGTAAGGGCATATTGCCAAGTATATGTATGGAATGGTAAATCTTCCCTATATTTGTAACCCTAATCAGCATGGCCATATGGCCTAGCAGTGTGGTCACCAACACTAGGTGACCCTGTTTGAGCAGGGAGGTCAGATAATATGACCTCCAGAAGTCTCTGCTTCTGTAGCTACAGTAGAGAAAGTATTGATAAGAGTACATAAAGTTCAAACTGGGTTTCTGTTTGATCTTGAAAAGATGTGGAAATGCTACACTAAAAGCACTTGAAATTATTTTTGGCATGGTAAACTAGCTTTTTAAAATTGAGAAACACTCAGGTCTTGCTGATTCTGTGTTAAAAAGGTGTTCCTCTGCCTCATGTCTGTCCAGGCATAGTTACCTTCATGCTTCTTTTCATTTAAGTAAGGGCACTAAAGTAAAGGTCCTTCTGCAAACTAAAATGCCTTTTTAACAAGATATAGCTTTTATAATGTCATATGTATATAATGCATATAAAGCCTAGAAAAGTTTTAGTTGTATTGTCATGTATTATGACTTAATTGAGTTCCAAAGAAAATGTCTTTTTTCTCTGCCTCCCCCTCTGCTCCTCCCCAATGCCCTCTGCCCTCCTCGTTAGGAAGGGGAAGTAGTTGTTGCCAGTGGTGGAACATCAGAAGATGATGAAAGAGCATGGCACAGTGATGGCAGTTCTAGGTAAGTGACAGTATACCTTACACAGAAAATTCCCGCTGATAAATAAGTTTCTCTGTAAACAGTTAACGAGTAGTAATTAAAACTTGTGCAGATTCAGAAGAAAAGGTGAACAAGAACTTAAGGCTTTCAAGATTTAGTTTTCAGTCATATTGCTAACTAAAATTTAGGGAAGATTTTGTGCTTGTTTGCCAAAAGCAGAATTGTTTTCAAGTGTCTTTGCCAGAGGGTAATTTTGTTCAGGCACATGCATACTTGAGGCATCTGGTAACAGTTCCCTCTGGCTGGCTGGCTGAGCTGTGCTACCCTTGGGTTGAAATTAGGGAGCAAAGATTGAGGTGGCTTCACCCATCCTGTGGGTTTTTTGTTCAGAGCTATTCCAAACCAGAAGTCCTGAAAACAATATCCTGACTTCAACATGTATCATGTTGAATTGACTGAGTAAGCAATGGATTTACTACTAGGGATGCTATAAGTTAAACTTCTTGCAAGACTGAACAATGTCAGGGCTTTTGGTTTGCTACCATTTACATTGTAGCTGGGATATAGGGTTTTAAGCATTAGGGGTTTAACTATTAAAATAGAGTAGTTACCTAGACTGTTAACTGTAATCTTGGGTTGGGTTATATTATGTAATCCAGTGCACTCTAAATTGTTTTTTAACTTTTAGCTTTTATTTTCTTTTTTTCCTTTGGTACACTGTACACATAGTGACTATTCTAGTGATTATTCTGACTGGACAGCAGATGCAGGAATCAATTTGCAACCACCAAAGAAAATTCCTAAAATTAAAACAAAGAAAGCAGAAAGTAGTTCAGAGGATGAAGAAGGACCTGAAAAACAAAGGAAGCAAATTAAAAAGGAAAGGAAAAAGGGTATTGAAGAGAAAGATGGACCGTCAACATCACCAAAGAAGAGGAAACCCAAAGAGAGAAAACAAAAGGTTAGATGTTTTGTATGTGTTAGAGATTGCTCATTCTTACTGACTTAGAAATAATTGGATGAATTATTCAGTTACATACACAACTTAATATTGTCTAATTTTAAAACACATCATGACTTTTATTCATAACATGATAATTAATGACTCTTGTAAGTCAAATGATAGATTGCTGTAATGATATACTTTCTAAATATGATGTGTTTCACTTAAGGAACACTTTTAATATCCTTGTCACCATCTTTTCTCGCACCAGAAACTTCCTTTCTGTGCATGTGTTGGAGTGTTGGTATAATGTGCCAGTATTTTTTCAGCTGTGCTGACTTGTCTCCCCACATAAGTGCAATTTCTTTTAGGTCCCCACAGTCGTGTGACTTTTTGTATCAGTCCCATGATATATGATATTTGCATTATGCTTGGCACTACACCTCCATGAAGGGCAATATCACTTGATCAGAGTTTTGTTGTCTCTGTTTTGTTTGCTTTCTAATATGTCATTCCAGTGTAGATCAGTACATGGAAGTTTTCAGTGACTTTTGTGATTTTTTTTTTTCCGGTGTGTTTTTTGAGGAGTTGTTTTGTTTTTAATTATTAGATCTGAAAACTTCCTTCTTCACAGAGACCAGAAGTGATCTGTCTGGTAGATGCTATTTGCTTTTGTATACTCAGAGAATCAGTTTTTGCAATACCCAAGGAGACCAATTGTTTCATCTAAGTAACTAAACTGTATTTTGTTAATTAATAAGATTAGGAGTCCTCAGCATTCCTTGAGATGATTATTTCAGTGTTTTGGCCCTCCTGGAAGGTAGCCTGACAAACCAGCTGTACTAACATGCAGCTTGTCATAGTGTCAGATTTACTGGAGGATGTTACATGGTAGTCTTTGCTCTTTGATTAGGCTGCTTTTTGTTTATTGGTACTGCCAATGCTAATAGTGTATTGGTATTTAGACAGTCTGAAAACAGAAGGAGGTATCAGAAGAAAGAAGAAAGTGAAAGACCATAAAAATAGCTAGTGGGGTTTAAAGATTTAAACCTCTAATTTAGCTCTTTATTAGCAAATGAAGGACTGGTTGACAGCCTAGTGTTTCCACTTAAAGCTGAACTGAGTGTTTTGGGAATCTTGCACCCATTTTGTTCCAGGTTATTGAGATGCAGGAGGTCTTTGTAATGCCCTGGTCCACTTGGTGGGTTTAGGGGAAGGTAATTTTGGGTTACTCTGGGTCCTGCATGGGAGAGATAATGCAATTCTCAGGAGGGTCAGCAAGAAATAATTCTCTCGCCCTGTTCCCCCCACTGCTTTCCCACCTGGTTGTTTTGAGCCAGGCAGCCTTTCCTGTGGTCTCTGACAGTCTTTGATTCAAAAAATATCAGATATTTCCAATTTTTAAGGATGACCTGCTCCTTCCTCAAGTCCCAAGAACATATTAGGCTGGAAGGAATTGCAGAAAATCGTCCCTCTTTCTTCTT